TCATCAAATTAATTTTAGTACATGTGATTGATGATTATGCTAAAAAAAACATTACCACATTCATTAAACTTTGAAAAATTAAGCTATTTTGCTGATAACGTGTTGTGAAAAGAGAGAAAAAGAGAAGTCAATAAATTTGTGTGTATTATAATGAGAATCAAAGTCTTATATTTATAGGGAATGAATATTGATACGTATGGTAATAATATTTAGGACTGTAGGAGTACAATTGTCATTCACCAATAACTTACTATTTACAACACTTTAAAAATTTTTTAGATAATTTTGAAGTAATGACCCACCGGTCCGACTAGTAACCCATTAATACCTTGATTGAGTCAATGTTTGGTTCAGATCTAATAACTATGTTTTTATCAATCTTTTATTGTGAAAAGAATTTTATATTAGTGATGCACACCTCCTTTTAGCACATGTAAAGTTACCAATTAATACCAATCTAAGTGACATTAAACATCATGACCTTGTTACTCGTTGTCATGTAGACTAGCGCTAAACAAGATTAGTGCTACGTAGCTTTAATTCATATGTAAATTATGATATACATATTGCATACACTGTTTGACAACATTCCCCCACTCATATACTTACATGAAAATATCCAAAAAGAATGTCTAAATTACAGAGATATTTTCCTCTTGCAATTCTGATCTTGAATGGCTTGGCTTCGTATATCAAAAGTCATTGTGCAATTCATTTGCACCACAACATGCTTTTTTATGATGTTGATAATCTTCACTTTTCCACTTATTTTCGAATGGCTACTTATAGACAGTGCCCCTGAAGCTAAATCACTTTTTAATCCTGGTAAAGCCAATATTTTGTCCACCTTAACATCAATGCAAAAATTCATATCAAGAGTTCGTCGGGCCCTCACCTCGCCGGCCAGAATTTGGGCTTCACCAATGACAATACTGTCGTAGTACAAACTTGTTGTAGTGTTGCTAAACTTGAAGGAGGCCACATTAGGGTTAATGACAGAAACATCAGCTTCAACTGTTAGGTTAACCGCCGGGCCGGGATTATCCGTCCTCACAAGTGCACCGAATCCTTGAATCTTTAAGTTCTTCATCTTGATCACGGGATCCTTTATGTGAAAGATGGTGAACACGAGTACTAACATGATCATAACTATAATTAAGAAGATTGCAGTTATGCAGCCACAGCAAGTGATGCATTTTCGGTGGTGATGGTTTCTGAATTCCATCGATATGTCTTCATCTTCGTCGATCTTGATCCCAAGAGCGGCCGGGGCTAATGGCTTCACTTGCTCTCTCTTCTCGGCCATGACTGAGTACTAATCGAGGTTGTAGCAAAAGGGTTTTACTACTTTATGGGAAGGAAAATAGGAATATAAGTAATTGATATAAATTGTTGAGGTTATTGAGTTCTGTATTTGGTCACAAACTCTAACACGGCTTTGAATATTGACTGATGACCTTGTTTTATGGCACTTGACTTGATGTGTATTGGGTAGAACCTAGTGTGAAAAATACACAGATAGTCATGGAAACTTCTGATTTCTATGTGAATGGAACGATGTCGGATAAGAAATTGTCTAGAGTAATAGAAAATGGGGTCAAAATGCCTGTCACACTGAACTTTCACGAAATTGCAATTGGATTATTAAACTAATTCGTTCCAATTAAGCTATTGAGATTTGAATTAGTTTCAAATTTGACAGGCTTATTACATTCTGTCATCTATTATACACTAACTGACAGAAATTGCATGATAGAACTACCACATTGTGTCCCTTATAATTATAGTGGTTGG